ACCACCTTGCCCATGCCTTCCACAGCAGACTGAGCAAAGTTTCCCATCCACACCTTTTCACCCTCAATGGTCTCAAAGGTGTTGAACATCTCTCGGTTGCAACACAAGTGCCTGGTTGCACCGGTATCAATGAACCATTCACGAGGGTTTGAGCCCACGAGGTTCACCTCGGTCACCATAGCCGAAAGGCTAATCTCGACCTCTTTCTGACTGCTATCTCCAACAACATTGGCTTCAGAACTCTTGTTCTTTTTCCTTGGAGCCTTGCATTCAGATGCTCTGTGGCCATGCTTGCCACAATTGTAGCATTCACCAGGAAACTTGTTCTTGGTAACGCCACCTTTCGGACCTAGCTTTCGCTTGTCCTTCTTGTTCCTCTTGGAGCTCTTACCGTGCTCCACAACGTTGGCCTTAGCGCCAACAACGATAGGAGCCTTCCTATCATTCGTCCTGTTCCCTTCCTCAATCCTGAGTCGCTGGATCAGGTCCTCCAGATTCATCTCCTTTCGCTTATGCTTAAGGTAGTTCTTGAAGTCCTTCCAACCTGGAGGCAACAAATGGATCACAGATCCCACTTGGAAGGCTTCACTTAGCACCATGCCCTCGTCACGGATCTCATCAAAGATTAATTGCAAATCTTCTACCTGACTTAGCACGGTCTTTGAATCAACCATTTTGAAGTCGAGGAATCGGCCAACTACAAATTTCTTTGAGCCGGCATCCTCACTTCGGTATTTATGATCCAAAGCTTCCCACAACGCTTTTGATGTGCTTATCTTTCGATATACATCATATAGCACGTCACACAATCCATTCAGGATGTAGTTTCGGCAAAGGAAGTCCGAATCCTTCCAATAGCCAACCGCCATCACGGATTGTGCATCTTGTTCCTTCAACTCGGGAACCTTCTCGGACAAGAACCTTGCCAAGTCGAGAGTTGCTAGGTAGAACAACATCTTCTGTTGCCACCTCTTGAAGTTCGAACCAACACCTGTGAACTTCTCCGGCTTTTATGTGTTAGAATGAAATTTATATTATGGGGTATGATAATGTATTTTATGAGTTAGAATAATGTACTTTATGAGTCTGTTTGGCAGAGCTTATTTAGGAGCTTTTTTTTTTTTTTTTTTTTCATATTTGTCCTTATTATTTTAAAGAAATGACATCCTTTACCATTCCTAATTAAAATCATTTTCTCTTCTCCTTTATCCGCATGTTTCACCGTAAATATTATTATTATTAATATTATTATTATTATTATTATTATTATTATTATTATTATTATTATTATTATTAAGAAAAATGGTCAAATACACCCCTGAACTTTATACAAGAAGTCAATTAAGCCCTTGAACTTTAAAATGTTGCAATTAAACCTATGAACTTGTTATTTTTGTGCATTTAGACCCTACAACAAGTTAATTACATAGCAGGTGAGATACTGATGTGTCCTTTTTTTTAAATAATTACTAATAATAAAATAATATAAATTTTTTTTAAAAAAAAAAAACAAAAAAGAAGGAGAAGAAGAGAAAATGGCTGCCATCTTCTTTTTCTTGCCTGCTAGCCTCCTACGAAGAAGGAGGTGTTGGTACCGTTGGTAGAAAACACAAATAATAATCAAAATAAGATTATTATTTTTCTGGAAATAAGGGAAGAAAAGATGAAGAAATTTGGCTAGTGTTTGGTGTTGGGTTTTTGCAAGAGTCAAGTAAGCACTCTTTCCTTAAAACCTTATTTGCCACCTCCCAAAGATGCTAGGAGCGTTGTGGCCTAGGCTTCCCAGGATAAAACTTGCTAATGATTCAATGTTTGAGCACTCAAACAAGGAATCCGGCGAGCACGACAATGGCTATGAACACAGTAGGCCAAGAAAGAGTACTATAACAGCAGGCCACTACCTGAGAATTGAATTCAGAATTGGAATTAATAGACAATTAATTCCGTAACAGATGAATTCAATCCACTGAACAGTCAGAACTTTCGGGTTCCAGACCATTAGCGTACAGGGTTCCCTTGCACCTCTCGTGCTCTCTTGTAGCACGAGAGTAGGTGCCTCGGTTCGGTTCTGGCCGAACCAAGTAGCTATACCAGTTACCGAAGTTTGACATAACTTAGCCCGCAAGGCCAGCCAATTTCCGGACGACATTCGTGCCCCCAGGTGCCGGCGCACACGAGCTTTTTTCAATCTCTGCTAGTTGGAATTTGATTTGCAACCCCCCCCCCCCCCCCCGCGAGAGAGCCTCTATGCTATACGATTATACAAACTTCAAAAGAGCTCTTGTATATAAGGGGGGAAAATCTTCATTCCAAAGCAATGTGGGACAAAAGCACTTTTTCCCTTTATTTTCCAACTCAAATGGGTCTACTTTGAGAATCAATTTCTCATTCACCCATTATCCGTTTTGAGCGTACAATATATCGATCTCTTCGTCTCACTACGAAGAATCCGAATCCACTTTAACCCGACCCAAATCGGAAGTGGACCCCACTGATAATTGTACCACAAAATAGCCACTTAACATGCCATTTTAAGCTATTTTTTCCAACAGGAGGCAAGAAGAAGATGGCAGGCCATGGTTTCCATCTTCTCTTTTTCTTTAAAAAATAAAATAAAAAGAGTTCCCTTCGTCTCCACTGGAGACGAAAGAGACTTAAGAAGAAGATGGCAGCCTTGGCCATGGCTGCCATCTTCTCTCTTCTTCGTTTTTATTTAAAAAATATAAAATAAAATTGTTCCCGCTCCTTCAGGAAAAAGATGGCAGCGATGGCTGCCATCTTCTCTTTTTTAAAACAAAATTAGTTTCCCAGGCAAGAAGAAGATGGCAGCGATGGCTGCCATCTTCTCTCTTTTTAATTTTTTTTTATTTTTTTAAATAATTTTATATTAATTTATTATTATTATTTATATTAAAAAATGACACGTCAGCATCTCACCTGCTATTACAGGTAATTAATTTGTTATTGGGTCTAAATGCACAAAAGTAACAAGTTCGTAGGTTTAATTGCAACATTTAAAAGTTCAGGAGCCTAATTGACTCCTTGTATAAAGTTCAGGGGTGTATTTGACCCTTTTCCATTATTATTATTATTATTATTATTATTATTATTATTATTATTATTATTATTATTATTATTATTATTATTATTATTATTATTATTATTATTATTATTATTATTATTATTATTATTATTATTATTATTACTATTATTACTATTATTACTATTATTACTATTATTATTATTATTATTATTATTATTATTATTATTATTATTACTACTACTGTTATTATTATTATTACTGTTATTATTATTACTACTATTATTATTACTGTTATTATCGTTATTATTATTATTGTTATTATTATTGTTATTGCTATTGTTATTGTTATTGTTGTTATTATTATTATTGTTGTTATTATTATTATTATTGTTGTTGTTGTTGTTATTATTATTATTATTGTTGTTGTTGTTGTTGTTATTATTGTTATTGTTATTGTTATTGTTATTGTTATTGTTATTGTTATTGTTATTGTTATTGTTATTGTTATTATTATTATTATTATTATTATTATTATTATTATTAGATGAAGGAGATTCCCAACAATATTCCTACTTCATTATAGGATGCTAGATCATGATTATGTTAATAGTTTTATTTCATAATGTTAATTTTTTTTGAAGACAAAATGTTAAATTTTAATATGTAAACAAACTAATTTAAATTTTATGAACATGTCCTTTTTTGTGTTTTTACATTTATCAGCTTATCAAAAAGTTAATTTTACCAAATACTTTCAAGCACAACAGCTAGCTTAACAACTCTTCAGTTTTCAGCTCCTTGCTTATAGCTTTTCAGCGTTCAGCTCATTTTTAGCTTTCAACTACGTTTTCAGCTAGGTTTGCCAAAAGTAGCCTATGTGTTAGAATAATATAATAATGTATTTTATGTGTTTTTAGGCCATGGTCCACCCGTGATCCACACAGCTATGTGGACTAATGATTGCTAAATGCCCTTGTACTGCAGATTTTCCTGGCTTTGGCTGCGTAAACGAAACACTCGTTAGCATGAGGTGGATAGTGTTCATATCGGGCCTATCTAATATGTGTGTCCACAGTACAAAAAAAATTATAATTGTCTTAATAATTAACTATTAATTTTTATTGTCTAATACAAATTAACAATTATTAAACATTATTTATAATAATTATTATTTCTTGTGTAATACTAAAAGAGTTTATTATCGAAATGGTCCCTCGACTATTGAAAAATTACCAATTTGGTCCTCGACAATATTTTCTTATCCAATTAAGACCTCGACTTTGAAAATGTTAACCATTTTGGTCCTCCCTTAAAATTCCATCCATAAGCTATTAAATTTAAGGACAAAAAGGTAATTTCATATATCTTATTTATTAATGCTTTTCTTCTTCCTCGTCTTTCCACTCCTTTACAGTAAAGCTCTTAGGAATCTTTCGCAATGGTCATTGAATGGGGACTGGTTCACAATCCGACAACACGTTCTTGAACGGATCGTAAACTCGGAGGTTATACCAAGCACACAACACGATATAACTTGTGCCGTGAAAAACCAACCTTGGGGGATGTGGAATTTTGTCACCGCATCGGTCGCCCAAAGGAAAGAACATGTCGGCTATAAGACAATCCGTTCGGTATTGTTGCAATGGTTGTTCCAGGGGTTCCTAAAGCATCGCACAAGCTACATGGAAATTCGGGACCGCATCGTCCGATGCTAAATCTAGCTGCTCGCAACCTTCCGGCAAGCCAACCTGGGCGGCCGGAAAATCTAGGACAACGATTTGGATTCGATGGCCAAGTTGTGTGGCTTTAACGATGGAGTCGGAGAGGACGTGCTTGTTTCGCGGGGTGGTGATAATGGTGGCCTAACGCCTCGAGAAGCGTAGAGGTTTTCCATGTCGAGACGATCAGCTGCTGCCATCGCATCGGCGTTGCGCACCGGGACGTGAAGCCCGACAACATGTTGTTTGAAGCACAAGGGAACCTCAAACTCGCTTACTTCGGGTCGGCGGAGCGGTTCGGAGGGTGCGACGGCGGCCGAATGTCGGCGGTGGTTGGGACGCCGTACTACGCAGTGCCGGAGGTGTTGATGCGATGGGAGTACAATGAGAAGGTGGACGTCTGGAGCACGGGGGTGATTCTGTACATAATGCTCGTCGGAGTTTTGTCGTTCCGCGGTGATTCTACGACGGAGACGTTCGAGGCGGTTTTGAGGGCAAACTTGAGATTTCCCGCTAAGAATTTTCTATCATTTTCACCAAAAGCTAAGGATCTATTGAGAAACATGATCTGCATATGGGTCTTCTCAGATTGAAATGGGTTAATAAATTAAATAAGATAGGAAATGGGTCTTCTCATGTGAAATTTCATCAATGCCCTCTAATTTAACGGACTTCTAACGCTTGACTGGATGGAGGATCAAAATGGTTAACATTTTCAAAGTTGAGGACTTAATTGGGTATGAAAAATTGTAGAGGACCAAATTGGTAATTTGCAATAGTCGATGGACCATTTCGATAATAAACTCATACTAAAATTATTAGGTAGGATTTTTATTATTAAGGTATAATAATATTATTAAACCAAAATTAGTAAAAATAATGTGTCAACAATACAAAATAAATTATACTTTCCTTATTAATTAATTATTAATATAATTGCCTAATATAAATTGACAGTTATTAATAATTATTTATGGTAATTATTAAGTCCCATGTAATACTAAAATTATGAGTTAATATCCAAAATGGTCCTCTACTATAATGATTTTTCTCAATTTCGTCCTAAACGACTTTGGTGACCTAATATAGTCACAGACTTTTGTGTTTTTGCTCAATTTAGTACTCCATTTGTTATTCCATCCATTTGGTGTTAAATAGAGGGACAATTCAATAATTTTAATATTGGAGTTTCTTTACTCCTAGACCTGCGCAGTGCAAAATCGCTTTTTCTTTTACGAATTATTCCCAAACCGGGGAATATAAAATTTGATTCACAGGTCTGGGAGTAATTTGTGAAAGAAAGAGGAATTTCACACTTCGTAGGGCTGAGAGTAAATAGATAATAATATTGAGATTACTGAATTGTCCCTTTATTTAACACGAATTTGACGAAATAACAAACGGATGACTAAATTGAGTAAAAATACAAAAATCTGGGACTACATTAGGTCACCAAAGTCGTTTAGGACGAAATTAAGAAAAACCACTATAGTCGAGGACCATTTTGGATATTAACTCCTAAAATTATTGTTGGTTTTTATGGGCGTCGGGTGCCATTCGACGGGTAAAATATTTAGGATGCTTTTTATGAGTGAAAAGACTAAGCGTAGCTGAGAGAATAGTGTGATAATATTTCTCTAGGGTTTCGGTCGAGAATAATGACAAGTTTGGGGCCTAAGGGACTCGACGCGTCGAACCCGAGCTCGACGCGTCAAGCGCAAAGAAGCAGCAGACAAAAAAACGATGCCTCAGGATTTGACGCGTCGAGCCTGATGCTCGACGCGTCGAACCCGTCTAGAAACAGCCTCCGGGATTTTTAGAAGGTGCTCGACGCGTCGAGCATGAATGCGGCCCTACACTGCGTTTCGGCCCGTTTTCGCGTGGAATTTTCCTATTTTCCTCCAGGGTTTGATCCCAGCTATAAAAGCCCACCTTCCTCAACCCTAATAGATAATTCAAAGAATACAGAGATATTTGGAGACAAGAAAGAGAGAAATCAAGAGCCACAAGTTGTCTTGGGGATCAAGAAGAAGACTAGGGAGATTTGAGAAAATCGTCTGGTTAATTCTTGTACTCTTTTGATGATTTGTAATTCTTTATTATTATTTGCTATGTATAATTTAGCCATGCTTGGCTAAATTCTTTAGATATTCTTGGGTAAAAGTGTTTATGAACTTATGTGCCTAAGCTCTCAGTTTCTTTAATATATTATTATTTGGGTTAGCTTGTGTTGCAATTGTGTTTTATATTCTTGTTGCTAGTAGTTTAGGGCTCTAATTACTTGCTTCATAGCTTTGTTTGTGTCACAGCGAGAGTTGGGCATAACTTAGGGCACACAGAATTGCACCTTGAGAAAGGGTAATTTATTAGGGGGATTTAATTCTTGATATTGCGCATCGAGAGATGGTAGTAGTTAGGAATTTATGATGCTTGATCTTGTTTTATTGGGTGTTTAAGCCACGAGAGTGGAAATTCACTAGTGTTAGTGACCACGAGAGTAGCTCTATACCACCTTGCATCCTCACACTTGTTAAATCTAGATTTTAATTTTGTCCTTAAGATTTGGCACTAGGTGATTAAACACTTGAATCCCAGGAATCTCATCTTCTCTCTATTGTTTTCAAAACCCTGAATCTCTGCTTTATTTTATTTATTTTATGCAACCAATCATCCAATCAATTGTTAGGATTAGCTCTAATGAATAAATTAGTAACTAGTGCTTGATACAACCACTTCCATGTGGATCGATAACACGTACTCCGAGTATTATTTGTTTGCAAATATACTACGCATCATATGAAAAAGCAATTGACTGATGAACATATATGAAACAATCTTGGGCGATGTATTGTTGAATAATGGTGGTTTGTTCTTTGTATATGGCTATGGGGGTACCGAGAAGACATTTCTTTGGAGGGCGTTGTCTGCAAAGTTGCGTTCTAAAGGTGATATAGTTATCAATGTTGCTGCAAGTGGCATAGCATCATTACTTTTGCTTGGAGGCAGAACTGCACACTCTAGATTTGCAATACAAATACCTTTGAATGAAGATTCAACATGTAATATCAATCAAGGTAGCCACCTTGCAGAATTAATTGTGCAAACAAAGTTAATAATTTGGGATGAAGCACCGATGATGCATAAGCACTGCTTTAAGGCCTTAGATAGAACACTGAGGGATTTGATGTGATTCCGTGATCCATTGAGTGATGATAAAACTTTTGGTGGTAAGGCTATTGTCTTTGGGGGTGACTTTAGACAAATCTTGCCTGTCATACCTAAAGGTACTAGACAGGACATTGTAGGAGCTACTATTAATTCTTCTTATCTTTGGGATACATGTAAAGTTCTTAGATTAACAAAGAATCTAAGATTGAATAGGATGGAGCTTGGTGTTGATCTACAACAAGTTGAAGATTTTGCAAAATGGATTGCATTCACTGGAGATGGAACAACGGGTGGACCGAATGATGGTTATGCAGATGTTAACAGTCCACCGAATATGTTGTTGCCCTCTACAGGTGACCACATAGCCACAATTGTAGATAGTACATTTCCCATGTTAAAAAATGGTGGATGCGATCATAAGTATCTAGAAAGTCACACAATATTGGCCCCAACTCTTGATGTGGTTACCTCCATCAACGAGTATATGAGTCATTTGCATGTAGCTAAGAGCAAGACATACTTTAGTTGCGACACAGTTTGTAAATCTGACTCAAGTGACGGTATCCTTGCAGATGTGCATACTCTAGAGTTTCTAAATGGGTTGCGAGCATCTGGTATCCCCAACCATGCTCTAACACTTAAGGTGGGTTCTCCTGTAATGTTATTGCGGAATATCGATCACTCAATGGGATTATGCAACGGTACTAGGCTGGTCATTACCAAATTATCGGAGCATGTTGTACAAGAAAAGATAGTTTTTGGTAACAACTGCGGGACTAGGGTGCTGATACCAAGGATGTCGATGACTCCAACTGATATAAGATTGCATTTCAAATTCCAAAGAAGGCAATTCCTGCTTATGTTGTCATATGTAATGAACATTAATAAAAGCCAAGGACAGGCGCTATCTCACGTAGGACTACTGCTGAAGAAACCTGTTTTTGTACATGGTCAATTGTATGTTGCTGCTTCAAGAGTTAGCAACCCGAACGGTTTAAAGATCTTGATTGGCAACGAAGGTGATACGAGTTGTACTTCAACTACAAATGTTGTTTATCATGAAGTGTTCAATAATTTGTAATTTCAATTCAATTTTAACCAACTTCTCCTTTTAGTTTTACATATTCTCTTATTCTTACATGTAAATTTCCAGAATCATTAACTTTTACAAAAAATAACTTTAATGTTAAAAATACTGAAGTTATTTATGTATAAGTATTATCTGTGCATCACACGGGTACAATACTAGTTTTATATAATGCACAATCAATACACAAATAATGTATTTTTAATATATTACAAATGTCTTTATTATGATCCACACAACAATGTGTGGACCATGTTTCATATATATAATAATTTCCTTTCAAAATTTTAACTTTACACTTAATAATAATAACAATATATTTAGAGATACATTAAATAATATGTATATATAATAACAACATACAATTAACAAAACAACCCAAGAGTAGTTTAATCAATTTTCCTACCTCATTAAAGTTAAAGGGTTTCGTTGTCTAGTCAAAGTTTGAAATTCAACCATTTTTAAGTTCAAAAAGAGGATATTTCTACCAAATAAAAAGTGAAAGGGATGGTCTCCTATCGTGAGAGTTGTTGGATCTAATAAAAATATATAGAGTTAATCAACTATTCGGTCCCTCAATTATTAGTGAACTGTCAATGTAATCCCTCAATTGCTTATTCATCGATTTGGTCCCTGAAAATAATTATTTTTAGTCGATTTAGTACCTCAGGCCGTCTTCCGTACACAGCCAGAGGGACTAAATCGACTAAAAATAATTATTTTCGGGGACCAAATCAACGGCCAGAGGGACTAAATCGACTAAAAATAATTGTTTTCGGGGACCAAATTGATGAATAAGTAATTAAGGGACTACATTGACAGTTTGCTAATAATTGAGGGACCAAATCGTTGATTAACTCAAATATATAATAACATAATTGCAGATATAATCAATACTTTAAGTTTTAATTTATATATAATACTTTATAATAAAACTGTAATAAATAATTTGTAAGAAATAAAGTAATAATATAATAGAATTGCAAATATAATTAATATTTTAAACCTTATATATAATACTAGTATTTTTTATGCGCGATGCGCAAAAAATAGGTGCCCAATATTAATACATTATATTAAAATTTTAAATTTATTTAGATTTTAGATATTTAAATTATTCTAAATAATAATAATGTAAATCATTTTTATAAATTTGATATTTACATTTATGTAATAATTAACATTTAACTCAAATATTTAATGTGTATATATTATTATTAATGAAGAAGATAAGAAAATATATGGTGGATGCATGTGCATGGTAACAATAGTGGAAAAGATAACGGAAGTTATAACGGTAGGGGTATGTTTGTCCAAAATATTTTAATGTACAACCTTTATAGCATAATGTACAAAAAAACTTAACAGAAAAATCTGACATAAATCAGGGGTATAACTTTCATTCACACTTATTATGTTTTTAGATTTATATCATAAATATAAACTTTATGGCAAAATTGTAATAGACAATTTGCGAGAAATAAAGTAATAGCAAAACAGAAGTACCGATATAATAAATAAATTAAGTTTTATATATAATACTTTATAGCATAAATATAGTACTTTATAACATAAATGTAATACACATTTATAGGGAATAAAATAATAAAATAACATAATTGTAGATATAATCAATATTTTAAACATTATATACAATAATTTATATCATAAATATAGTATTTTATTTTTAGCAAAACTGTAATAGACAATTTGCATAAATAAAGTAATACTCTCTTCGACCCATTTTGTTTGTCTGGTTCGGTTAGCGACACTTGATTGAAGTTATTTTTAATTCAATTTTTTATAATATTAAGTTTAGTATTAGTATATAAAATTTATATATTTAGAAACTACATTAGAAATACTATGGAGTATTAAACACAAAACAAAATAAAATTTAAAAATAATTAAAATTACTAAAGAAAATAAGAATGAAGAAAGAGTTGATTTAACCAATGAACAATAAATATAACAGACAAAATGAGACAAATAAAATAACATAATAGAATTGCAGATATAATCAATAGTTTAATCTTTATATATAATACTTTATAGAAAAATGTACTCCGTAATGAATAATTTACAAAAAGTAAAGTATCATTACATAGGAGAATTACAAATATAATCAAACTTCTTTAGACCGTTTACAAAAAATAATACTATATTAAGTCAATATATCATAAAACTCAAATTCTTATGGTCTAATTCATCTCATGGATTGAGTGGGACGGTCCCACATGAAGAATTTGCCAAAGGGAAAAAAAACAAACAAATGTCTTGGCCAAGTACTGTCTATTCCGACATTCCAAGCATTTATAATTATGCGGAGGAATAATATAATAGATATAAAATGGGTGTATAAAACTATTTCATGCAAATATAAAATAATTTTTTGAGAAATGAGGAAACCTGCAACTATTATTTAAAAGTGTACACTAAAATCTAGCCTTGTGACTCTAATCAGCAAATGATCATAATGAAATAAACCAATATAAGCTGTGTATAGCGGACCTGTTCAAATATATACTCCGTGTATATTTTACAGTGTAATATTTTAACAAATATGTAACATTTTAATATGGAGTTCCCAAGTATTACATATTTACTTAAGAGTTAATGCCATATGAGATCCTCCAAGCATAATGATTTTGTCACGTTTAGTTCTACTTTCAAATTGATCACATGTGGTCTTTCAACTTTCAAATTGTTACCATTCATGATTTTTCAACTTTCAAAATTTAACCAATTGTAGTCCTCCTAGAAAGATCATGGCTAGTTAAAATTTGATAGTTGAAGGACCATTAATAATTAACTTGGACCACAAATAGTAACAATTTGAAAGTCGAAGGACCATAGGTGGTCAATTTGAAAGTTTAGGACTAAACGTGACAAAATCACTATATACTTGAAGGACCCAGATGATATTAACTCTATTTACTTATCTTTTTTTTTTAAAGTAATTTGTTAACCTATAAAAAAAAACATTACTCTTTCACTAACAAGTACTCCATATTATATACAGAGCATTTGATATCCATCTCATGAAACAATATTACACAAAACCAATCGTATAATAAATAGAATTGGAAAGAATGGAGGATATGATGAAGATTAATATACAGTGTAGCCCTTTAGAGCCCAAGAAATGAAGGTCGTCACCTTCCTTCATCCATGGAAGAATACGACATTGAATTCCTGGAGTAGTCTTCAGCAAAACTACCACCCCCAGAAGACTTGGTGGCACCCGTTTGCGTACTGCCATTTGTGTTCTTAGTAAAACCACTTGAACTCGTGGTAGTCCATCTCCCTATACGCCCATGTACTGCAGGTTTCCCTGGCTTTGGCAGCGTAAATGAATCACTCGAAAGCATGAGTTGGATAGTGTTCATATCGGGCCGATCTGATACGCTCGATTGGCAGCATAGCAATCCAATCTGAATGCACATCACTGCTTCATCAGGATCGCAGCTCTCGAGACTGGTGTCAACGAGCTCGAGCGTCTTCCGTGCTTGAAAAAGTGTCCAGGACTGCAGGAACAGTAAACAATATATACTGTTAGGATCACGCGTTTACCACTTAGGCCAAAAGGGATAATTGACGCTAGGTGCTGGACTTGGCCTCTGCCCAACAATCCACCAGCCACCGGGTGCTAGAATACCACTTGTTAGGACAAACGCTTACCACTTACGCCAAAAGATATAACTGGTAAGTAAGGCGCATTTTCGAGATGCTAGGTGCAGTGCTGGACTTGAGATGGCCTTTTTAAGCCCTTTACCGGCATCTGCCCAACAATCCTCCAGCTACCGGGTGTTAGATTTGGCTTTTACTGGCCTCAGCCCAACATATACTAATAACGAATAAGATGTTTGGTTTGGTTGTTTAAGGAAAGAGTTAAGGTTGGCAAGTATGTTGGATGAAACTCACATAGTTTAAGATGTCCGCCTTTTCTGCACCAAGCTTCCCCTCATGATTCTTCCTTCCACTCACAATTTCTAGTACCAAGACCCCAAAACTAAATACATCTGTCTTCACAGACAGATATCCGTGCATTGCATATTCTGGAGCCATATAGCCACTGCAATCAGATAAGGGATAAAGTCAAGACACCACCCGGGAAAATGAAGCACGTTGGAAGAAACCGAAAGAGATACTCACTGTGTACCGGAAATCCTAAACGTCTGTAAGTGGGTGTCTTCTCCCGGAAACAGCCTAGCCAGACCAAAATCCGAGATCTTCGGGTTTAACTTCTCGTCCAGCAATATGTTACTGGCTTTGATGTCCCTATGTATGATTCTTTCGGGAGCTTCTTCGTGTAGGTAGAGAAGACCCCTCGCAATGCCAGTGACAATTCGAAACCTCGTAGTCCAATCTAAAGATGCAGCCTTCTTCTTATCTGTGAAATTATAACTAATTAGGTCTCATATCATGCTAGCTTGACGGTTTCTTATTTGCATCAGAGAGGGTTAAGTTTACCAAAAAGGAAGTAGTCCAGGCTCCTATTGGGTAGATATTCATATACAAGCATCTTCTCAGGGCCTTCTATGCAACAGCCTAACAATACAACTAAGTTTTTGTGCTGAATTCTCAATAATAGTTTCACCTCATTAGTAAATTCTCTTATTCCCTGCCTTGAATTTAATGACAACTTTTTAACAGCTACTTCTTGGCCACTTGGCATCAATCCCTGTGCAGTCAGAAGCATACAAAGGTGTAAATAAAACCTCACATAAAAGAGTTAAAACAGCAGCCTGGACCTCTATGTGCAGTAACAAATTGAGCTCAACTGATTTTTATTGGCAAGAAACAGTAACAAAACCATTAAAAAAAAGGGAAACATAAAGAAAGAAGGCAGTTACATAGGTACCAATTGTTATATCATAGACCAGGATTCATATTGCATTGTGAACTCTAATACAACAATTATGTACCTTCAGTTAACACAGTCTGTACCTACAATTAACCGTTTCTGTACATGTAAACAAATAACTTAATAATTGCTGACACATAATATGATAGCTACATAATTGTTGACACATATTATGATAGCTACAGATACAGAGAAATTATCAACTGTAAATACAGAATGTGTCAACTATAGATACAGAATCTGAAGGTCATTTTTGGACCAGGAACTACAATGCAAGGTAAACCCTGGTCCATGGTATTATTTGCCCATAGGCACGCATAAAAAAAAAGCACCAATTGAGTCATTGGACCGAAGATATAAACGGAGAAGAGAAAAATTAATCCTTTGCAAGTCCCATTACTCTACTGTTGGGCGGAGGCCGGTAAAGGCCCAAATCCAGCGCGCACTCGAAAATGTGTGGCGGTATAAGGAAATAAAATTGCACCTTCGCTACTAGCTATAGTTTTTTGCGCAGCGGTAAGCGCTTAATCCTAACAAGTGATATTAGAGACAGGTCATGACTCGAAAATGTGTGGTATAAGAAAATAAAGTTAGCTATAACTTTTGGCGTAGTGGAAAGCCCCTGATCCTAACAACAACAAAGGAGCTAGTGTAACCTTAAATATTCAGAAAGATTGTCTATACATGAGCAGACAGAGTGCAACAGCAAAGGACTATAATAGCAGGAGGAAAAACCAATCCTTCACACATCAAATCTTTTGCAGGTTATTATAACTTCAATTCCCTCCATTGGAGCAATGGTACAAACTAAAACACAAATCTCCCCCAGTGAAAGTAGAAACATTTTTCATTTTCTATGTTAATCCATTATGTACATTGATACTTCATGCTAAATTAGACTTGAACCTTTCTCAGACCATCTCCAATCCAAAATACCAAATTCTGCACCAAATTTTACACAAAAAGAAATATTTCCAACATATTCTTATATCAATTTTTTTCATCTCTAACCCATTTAAACCAAATTTTATACCTACACTAAAATAATTTATATTCTTATAAATTAAAAGTTTATATTTATACATTTATTATTTTAATATAACATATAGCTGTAATTTAATGTAATTAAATTTTAATTATGTTTTATGTAATTTAATTTTTAATTAAATTATATTCAATATTAGTCTTGTTTTAATAGTCTTGATGATCTTTCAAATGATATAATTTTTTAATAATATACCATTTATTTTTAAATATTTAACAAAATATGTAAATATATATATAAAAAAAATACAAAAAGAATTATAAAAAAAGTTCAAGAACAAAACAAGACAAAATGAGAAATAAATTACTGCACCAGAAATGGCGTGCGTCCGTAGGATGAATAGTGCAGCGCCAAATATGGCGCTCAGTGTTAATGCTGCACCAAAATTTTGGTGCAATGGCGCGCCAATTGGAGTAAAAACACGCTTTTTTTCTCCATTTTGGTGCCCCTTGAAGATGGTCTCAATCACCACAAAATTTAAACCAAAACTTACTCTTTCTAACAGTAGCTTCATTTGATTAATTAGTGGGAAGCTGATTCACATACCACATCAATGTGTGTTATATGGTTCTGACTTGATCAACAGATTAGTTAAATAATCACAATTTCGTAATGACCAATCTGCAATTAATTAATTGCATTTATATATGTATGGGAAGACTAGTCAAGTAAGTCAACATTATTAATGAATAATTGTTGGCCAACTACGAGATTAATGGCGTAGCTGCCAATGACTGTTTCTCCAGAAAACGCTTTCAATCTTAGCTGGATTTTTCCACTGAAATTTAAACGTTAATTACTGGACCTAACTAACCTTGTAAACAGGGCCGAAGCCGCCGTGGCCGAGCTGGTTGAGGTCGGAGAAGAAGTTAGTGGCAATCTGGAGAGAGCGGAGGTCGAAAAACAAGTCCGGCGAGTCATCTCCTCCGTCGTTGTCCGCCTCATCTCCACCGTCGCCGCGGCTTCGTGCGAGTCGCCGCCTCAGGCACCCGCAGAGGCCGGAGAGGAAAGCCATGGAGAAGAAAGCATATATCTACTGAAATAAGGCGGCCGGAAGGAAATTGAAAACTGGAACTGCCCCACGCTGAATCTTTTCGTACTGGTGAGTATTTTCGTCTACGACAAAACGTGTGAGGTAAAAACTGAAGACGGAAGTCTCCTTTTATAGGGCGTGCTGTTTGAACGATTGGAATTTGGAAAGTAGAAGACTTGTTCATCATCATTTGCTATTTTGCCTACAGAGTGGCCCACATGTTCAACTACAAATTTTGAATTTTAAAAATATTATTAAACAAAAATTGTTAAATTTACAATTTTTTTTAATGCTACTGACTCTACATTGTAAAGTCTGTTCAAATATACTTGTTGGGGAAAATAGCAATGTCAACGCACGATCTGGAAGCCTTTTAAGAAGCACGAACACTATTGGTGTATGGTTGAAAGGAAATCTGTGTCGTGTTACAATAACACTACCTTAAAAGCATTATTTGCCCGGTAACAGTGCAGTTAGAACCCTGACACGCTTTCGACAGGCTACACAGACCTACCACGGATAGCTTGCACTAGCAATCACGTAGGCGAACCTCACTATTGCTCAGACTTGAACAGGCAAGCACGGAATTATATATTATAATATATATTATATAATATATATTAGTATCGAAGAAGGAATGAAGAAGAAGATATTTCTTCTTGGTGTGTTTTAGACAAAGGAGGGCTGCCCCTTTTATAGTACAGGACTAAGAGACATTCAAGCAGCCACATCCACACACTAGCACAATTCATGCTGCCACATAATTATGTCCGAAAATGATGTCCTTTGAATGGACTATTTCCAACAATCCCCCACACATTCAAAGCAGAAGGCTAGGAGGCAACAATGTCTGAGCAATTCAAATGAGTTGATCTTAATGTCAGTGTTTGAGAACTTGAACTGACACGTAGTGACACTGAGTAATTTTCTTCCCGGGAGTGATGTGAATCTTGAACTCACCGATTAGATAAATTTTGAACTCGAATGCACACACCAACTCAAAAGGCAGGTCCTACAAAAGTCAAACTCTTTGACTTCTTATGAACACCCTTAGTATTAAGGAATGTTACGTCTGTCTCAAATATAGACTTCTACTATACCTTGTCAAAGTCTATCACAACATAGACTTTTAACTCTGACAAGTCTTACAACATTATAGATTTTTACGTCTTGTGAAGTCCATCTCAATACAGACTTTTAACTCTATCAGGTCTATCTTGGTATAGACCACCATTAAAGGCTTATAGAGTAGTTAAAGACATAAATCAGTTGTAAGTCTTTTCTTTCTATCATAGGCACTGTTATTGGCAACGGAAATGACAGTTTGTGAATCACAATGTGGTGAAGGTGTTGGACACCCCCACAATTACACGGTTATCACCATGTTTCTTAGCCACTCGGCTTCTTGGGATAACCCCATTATCTTTCATAAGAGGCGGTTAGCCCTTTTCCACTCAAGTTAGGGATCTCTTTAGATCTATCTCAACATAGACCATCCCAATTGAGTATAAGGCACCAAGAGCACTTTGTACTCATGTCATTATGCGGTGAATTCATTAGGTTTGTCTCAACAAAATCACCCTTTCTCAAAGAGTTATGAATTCATTAAGAGTTGTAGCTCAACCTCACAAGTACACACACTATTGGAATGACCAACTAGTGTACTATTTTGTAACTCTTTTCATGGCTTCGTTTGACCACAGAAGTGGGATCCACCACGAATTCATTACCACTTGGACTTTAAGTCCTTCCAATGAGTCAGTAACTAATCCTCATAATTAGCCCTCAAGTAAGTTGATTCTCTTGACCAAACTTACATGCACTTTGACGAGTACTTCGTTTACTCGTAAATAATCCCTTGAGATTTTCATGTTTAACATGAAACATTCTCTTTCATCATTATTCTCAATACCACAGAGAAACTTTTGATGAAAATATAAGGAGTTTATTACCCCCACAATGCAACACTTGCAAATATTTTTTTTGTCAAATGTATTTGATCTCTTACCCAGACTGATCTTTGATGCCCAACATTGGCTCCTTTGTAGACTGAGTTTGGCCGATTTGCTTTGTGGAGCATTATAGAAACTTCGCACTCTGCCTGATACAAGCTCAACAATTGAATATATTTCACCAAACTTGGTTATCTCAATTGATCACAATTACCCTTTAACTAGGAATTATAGGTATTTCAATATGACTCAACCAAGAGTTTAAATAATATATATACAAATGCTCATTGTTAGTAAGCCATGGAAATAATGTTGTCCACATGCTACATCAAGTTGAACAACATAATCACAAATTTCACATCATATTCTTATAAGAAATTAATCTCATACAAAAGGAATATGTTTAAGCTCATATTTATTCGGAATATCTCTCAACAATGAGACTTCAGAGTTGCCACTAGCACAATTTTTCCTTCCCTCAAGGAATTTAAAACTCATATAAAGCATTCATAGGATGCAGATCAATATTACTATTGCAGTACTTCAACAGTACAACTTATATTGCAAGGCTTTGATTGTATTAGCAACATATGAAAGTCATCCTCATTTCAGGTGAAGATCAAGTGGCGCTCTAACTAGCCTGCATGATCAACACCCTACTTCTTAAGTACTCCCAGGTCGAGTGGTGAAACCGAAGTTTACTTAAAAACCATCTTCCTAGACAGAGTGTTCAAGAAGGATGACTTTCCCATGTTCTCATTAAATTACAATTGAAGCCTATGATATATGCTCTTATTCTTTATATAAATAATTTTAATAAAAAGTTTGAGCAATATCTATGCACATATTATTTCAATCAATGTCATTAGTATTCAACATACTAAAGAAGTAAGTACTACCAAGTAATCAAAATCTAGACAACTCAACTAGAATTCAGTACTAAGATAATTATACTTCACGCGAACCCTTAGAACTAGAGCAAATATAGTTACTCAAAAATAACTACTTATTTAAAGAGACTCAATACTCATCTTGCTCTGTCAGATTGATTTTTGCTAGTTTTGCCATTGTGATGGTAGCACTGGTGTGCTCGGTGTCCTTGCTTTTTGCATGTAAAACACCTTCCTTTGAACTTCTTGATTTTTCTACTCCTTTTGTTGTAGACAGTTCTGACACTTTGATTTTCAGTTTCATTGGAACCGTACTTTTCTGACAGTGTTTCCCAAATGACTTTTGCCGAGTCTTGTTTGACATAGATGTCGAACAAATCGTCATTCATTTGAGACAGAAGGTATCCTCTGGCTGCCGCATTGTCATTTCTAAACTGCATCAGAGTTACACCCGGTTCTTGACCCGGAATATAATCTATTTCAGGAGTGCTTTCTCTCGATTCTTCACCCGGAGTGTAATCAGAATTATGGTTAGCTTTTGTAGCACCAAAGGGAGAGAACACTGTTGGAGTAGGTTCAGGTGCAACTGAATATAGCACGTGAACCAACTTTAATTGTTCAAAAAGAATAAGCATTCTTTTAGCCCACCTGCTGTAATTTTTCCCATCAAGCGCGGTGATTTTTGATAGATCCGGTATGACAGAAGGTGCCATAATGCTAAAGGTTGACTGTTGCAGAATAACGCTTTTAACTGTTGGGGAAAATAGCAATGTCAACGCACGATCTGGAAGCCTTTTAAGAAGCACGGATACTATTGGTGTATGGTTGAAAGGAAATCTGTGCCGTGTTACAATAACACTACCTTAAAAGCGTTATTTGCCCGGTAACGGTGCAGTTAGAACCCTGACACGCTTTCGACAGGCTACACAGACCTACTACGGATAGCTTGCACTAGCAATCACGTAGGCGAACCTCACTATTGCTCATACTTGAACAGGCAAACACGGAATTATATATTATAATATATATTATATAATATATATTAGTATCGAAGAAGGAATGAAGAAGAAGATATTTCTTCTTGGTGTGTTTTAGACAAAGGAGGGCTGCCCCTTTTATAGTACAGGACTAAGAGACATTCAAGCAGCCACATCCACACACTAGCACAATTCATGCTGCCACATAATTATGTCCGAAAATGATGTCCTTTGAATGGACTATTTCCAACAATACTCTCTCAACATAATGAAGCACACTAAGGTTTGATCTTATGACCTCAATGAAGCACACTAAGGTTTGATCTTATGACCTCCCACATAGAAGAGGTCACTACATGTAATCTGAGCACAAGGTGTTTGGTAAATTTATAAATTATTTAAAAAGTAAAAAAGAATGAAATAATTTGACCAATAAATAGTAAACAAAGATAGCTAAAATAAGAAAGGTAAAGGTCCTATTTAGTAAATGACTGTTAGCGGATAATTGTTAGCTGATTGGGTTAATTAGAGAGTATAACTAGTTGATAACATTAGCTGATTGTAGAAAGGTGTTTGGTAAATTAGCTGTTAGCTGATAGTTGTTTAGTATAATTTTTTTTTCTCAAAAAGCTAATTGTAAAAGTTGCTTTAAGCAATTTTTTGAATTTTAGCATTTTGGAGTTACAAAAAGTTAATTAACCAAACACTTATATTGATTTTTTAACCAAATCAAACAACTAATAGTGGTTAAATAAGTTAAAATTGACTGATAAACTAACTATTTTACCAAACAAGGCCAAAGTATGTTTTTGAAAAAAAATTAATGGTGGCGGTGTAATTAAAATGGAAAACTTACTACAAAAAATAGTCACTTCTTCTATTTTAAGAGATTATTTAATATAATTAGTATAAATAATAAGGTAAGAAGACATCCATTCGATTATAAATTTTAAATTGAAATTAAATACATACATTAAATAATAAGTAAAATATTAAACAAAAATTATATTACTATAAATAAATAAAAATTCTTTATTCTATTAATTTCAAAATAGAATAGTAGTACTATATATAATAGTACCAGAGGCTGAGGACGCAACACTACCAGTTGCCGATGAGTCAATCCGAGTAGTTGAAGAGGCAACCAATCAGTTGCAGATAGTTCTCTACAGCCGAGTGGACGACACAACCCAACAAGCTCAATATATCCCTATTCCAGAGGATGCAGAACCGAGTAGACGAGAGGCTAATGTCATTAACATACCGATTAGTCCATCAACACCTCAAGAGGTTGAAGTACTGAG